AGAGAAAGTTGGCACGACCATTTCCATGAACTGGGCTATATAACAGAAAGATGGGCCGCGCATTAGCCTGTGCCTTCCGAAACTTGACTTTACACTAAACCTCAAGGTCTTTTCACCCGACAGAAACAAAAAAAAAATATATATTTTTTTTACAAAAAATTATTATATTCTTTTTCCATCTAAAAAAATCCTAGGGGTGAGGGCTTGACATTTTAACCTTTTTTATTTTCGACCACTCTAATTTACATATGTATGTACATACAATGCATATATCCCGCGTGAACTGAATAGGTGTTATGCTTGCTTATGCATCTGGACAATTTCTTAACTCGTCTGATTGTAAATTAGCCTACTGACCCATCGATATCGGCATTGAAATGCTTAAATTAAAAAATAAATGTTAAATGCGTGTGTATGCGCATAAGTGTGTGTAAATTCATATTCAGTTTGTATCTAACTATGAGAATAAATATTAATTTCAGATCATTGATGTAATATTCTTAAGGTTGGCCCCCATTAAATCATTCGATATTCGCGCTATTGTAGGCAGGTTGCTAAAGCCCGTGCTGTATTTTAACTCTACGTGTTTCTATATAAAAATGTTACAAATAATACTTTGGCATGTGTTGAAAGGCCATTCTGGGGCATGTTCCGACAGCCCCTATGCCGGCACAACATGTATGAAACCGGGTACCGGCTTGTGTGCAAGCCCTAATAACTTCACATATCGATGGCTGAGTGGAAGATCGACCCATCCCGGCAGCCAGTTCGAAAACGCTCTATCTCAAACAACTTTTCAAGAACGCCCTATTTCAGAATTCGTTTCAAAAACGCGCTATCTCAGCGGCCGATTCAAAAACGCCCTATATCATCATATTTTCAATATATTTTGAAGTGAGATAGGGCGTTTTTGAACCGAATTTTGAGATAGGGTGTTTTTCAATTAAATTCTGAAATAGGGCGTTCTTGAAAAGTTGTTTGAGATAGAGCGTTTTCGAACTGGCTGCCGAGATAGGTCGATCTTCTACTCAGCCATCGATATACTTTGATTCGGCTGTCGGATAACTGGAAATCGAGGCATGCGAAACGGTACTAAGGCTAGCAAGGCGGCACACTCCATTCCGATAGGTTAGGATAGGTTAGGGAGGCGTGCGTAGAATATTCCATACTTTATTTTAGTGAGTATCAGTACCTATAATAGAAAGAGTAGCTTTAGGTCATTATTCTACTGAACCAATTACTATCCCTGATGAAGCCGACGAGATCCAACAGTTCCACCTCCGCTACCTCGCCCAGAGTGTTGAAAAAGCGTGAACCCAAGTGCTTAAGTCGCTTCGTCTGCAGACCTGGACATCGACGCAGACAGTGGACAATTGACTCTTCCTAACCCTCGTCATGGCAGCCTCTGCAGAGAGTACTTGTTGGTATTCGACACCAATGAAGAATTGGTGCTATGCACAGTGTCCTGTGATGACGCCGGTAAACACTACTACTGCAGATCTATTGAGTTACAGTACGCCATCGTATTTTTCCTTCTAAGCCGCGGCCATGATAATCTTGTGGTCTCACAGTCTTCCCGTTTGCTCCACAAGTCATTCGTCACAGCCACGGTGTACTCATTAATTTTCCTAATAAAATCACTAAACGGTGGTAGTACGGAGTTATCCGCTTCTTCTGTTTGCATATCTGAGCCGCATCTGGCCATCTCATCAGTCGATTCATTCCCTTCAATACTGCTATGTCAAGAGGCCCAGTATAGAGGGACGTTGATGTGGCTCAGTGACGCCAATGTGGTGCGACATTCCCATACAATTCCCGATTTCACTATTTTATATCCTACAGCCTTCAATGCTTCTTGACTATCGACAAAAATAGAAGCTTCTGGAAGTCTAGCACTAAGTAACAGACTAGCCGCCCTCTCTATAGCGTAGATCAATAACGGCCAAAACTTGCACATTGTGTAGGTTTTGGTTCGCGTTTTCACACCAACGCTAATGATGTGTATGCACAAAGTTATGCTTTCGCTTCTCATGCGCTTGACACACAACCTTATGCAGATGTTGTAGTTTTAGTGTGGCCGGCACTGGCGTAAATCTTCGCTTAGAAGACACTATAGTCGTTCGGTAGAAGAAAGGACCGGTTGATCTGCAGGTCCTTCGCGTAGAAACCGGCTTCGGTGCCATGTTTCATCTTTGAACCATCAGTGTAGATGGATATACACCCCTCTGCTACTGGCAGTCCTGCCTCCCAGTTTTCTCTGGTCGGGAACCTTATGGGTATCTTCGTATTGAAGTACCAAACAGGCGTAATGTAATCAGTGCTGGCTTCTATGTAAGCTTTAATTCCATTTAGCAGGCCCCATTGTTGCTGCATGCCCGAAATTGGTTGCCTTCCATGTTTTGGCTTCTCTGAGCCGCTCTTTGCGGCCGTACCATGGATGAAAATATGCAGCGGATGGATGAAAATATGGGCGCTACTCACTGCCTCCGATATGCCAAGGCATGCGAGTCTACACTTTTCCTATTATTTTCTTATTACTCCCTTTTTCTAGAGCCTTTCACCACGCCAAGGACCCGTCGATTGCAATTGATCTGATGACTGGGGTGTACATTCCATAGGTGACATACGGTGATAGCCCCCATTGCTTTCCAAAGGTCCTTTTGCACGTGTAGTATGCTTCTATATATTTCTTGACTCTGTCCTCTAAATTCTTTTTCCAATTCAACTTGGAGTCCAGAATAATTCCAAGGTATTTTGCCTCGAGAGAGAGTTTCATAGTAGATTCCCCAAATTTCGGTAGAGAAAAATTTTGGTTTCCCTGTAAATAATACCAGTTCTGTCTTGGAGGGGTTTACGCTCAATCCAGTCTGTTTGGCCCACTTAGAGATATCACCTAGTGCAGTCTCCATTAGTTCACTTATCGTTTACAGGAATTTTCCTAATTTTCTTAATCTTAAAAATCTCCAGAATTTCGTTCACCACCAGCAGTTGGAGGAGAGGGGATAGTACGCCCCCTTCAGGCGTGCACCTGGTAGCTTTCCTTCTCACAGATCCTGTGCCTGTGGGGGCGTTGGTTATTTTGCTCTTGAGCACGGAGTCAATCCATGCCACCATAGGACGCTGAATGTCGTGCTCAATTTCAATATTTCAGATTTGAATGTAAAAATGAGAATCTCTTTCGGTTATTTAAGAAGTCAATTTTTTAAATAAAAAGGGCGATGGGGCCGCAGAATTTCCTATTTGAGAACAATGGTTTCAGCTACACTTTGTATTCCAATCGCCACTGCAATTGTTGAAAGAATGTTAACCCAAATCAATTTAAATCAAGAAAGTGAACAGCATCAACAATTTAGTCGATTCGATTCAGCGGTTCGAACTGTTTTTGCACATTTCGATTGGTTCGTCAAAACAGTTTTTTCCTTTGATAAAAAACTAAAACTATGTACATATATTTGTGTTATATTTGTTGAGTAACATTAAAAAAAAAATTAAAAAATTTTATATGTGTGTGTATGTATCAGTGTTTGGCAAATTTTAATTGTAAGGACAATTGTCAAATGAATTAGTTGTAACGCCAAAAAACCCCAAAAATGCAATGGGGGACCAATAAAAAATCTTTAGTACTAAAAAATGTAAAAAAACAATTGCGTAATAATCTGGAACACTACATCGGACCCTTATGATGAGACAGAATTATCTCAATTTAAAAATAGCGGCACCTTCGGTAAGAATTAATGATATTTTAATTGCTCGTTGCTTGTGACTTCCCAAATATTAAAAGATTACACCCTAAGCCAGAAAGTGAGAATCAAAACAAATCTAGTTTTGACTTACGTTTTTAATAAAAAATACTTTCTAGTGTATATGGCTATTAGGGTGGTAAAAAAATAAAGTCGGAATTTTAATGCTTTTCTTATTTTGAAATCAAAAAATATTTAGAGGTAGCTCAAAGCGCTCAAAGTTTTCCTTGTATTTTTTATGGCGGAAAAAACAACTTTTAGTAGAAATGGTGTAGAATTCGTGAAAATCGATATTTTTCGATCAGAAAACTCTGGTTCTCTTTAGGAGACTTCCTATAATAATACCCCAATTGCTTATTTAACCATTTTCTAATACTGAAGTTTTTTTTATTGGTTCCCCTTATTTGATTTTCTGGGGTTTTTGGCGGATCTTTACTATGCAACAATTTTTTATATAACAAGCGCAATTTACAAAAACTGGCGTTGATTTTTTTTATTATATTGCTAACGGTTTCCCACATTTTATATCATAAGAAATGTATGCTTATATGGAAAAAGTGCAAAAATCCATCACCAAAAAAAAAACATCTCAAAAACCAACGAGATTTTTAGCCGTTTGAAACTTAAACTTTATAAGACTAAAGTTGTATGGGTTATAAATGTTCTAAAGAATTAGATTTAAAAGTTGAAATTTTGATGAGAATTCGTTAAATTTTGTTAAGTTTTCTATAAAGTTTGAAACTGTGATTCTGGTTAAAGCTTGCACAATATTTTTTATCGAGAAATAACTTACTTAGCAATAGTAAATGAGCCTTGGTGAGCTTAACTAAAATTAGGCTGAAGCGTTAGTTTAATAAGAACTGAAATCTGGTGGGTAGCTATTAGAACGGGGTACGTAATGCCATTGAATTTCAAAACGAAAAAATTTTTTCCTCGAGTCAAGAACGATATGCGATACTTTAAGATCCGACTGTAAATACCGAAGATATGACAAAAAATTTAGAAGGCGACCCCTAAGTTTGGCAAAACAAAAAAGATTTTTTTTTAAGATACCACGCAAAAAAATAAAAATTTCAATAAGTTTCTCGAGAAGATTAAGTAAAAGGATCAAGTATGTAGGTATAATCGAAAGAAACTTTACTTGTATTATATGTACATACATATGTATATGACGGTTAAGCCATCCCGTTTTCTATTATGTAGATACCGTTAAACGTTTAAATCCAGCATATTAGTAATGTAATCTTTCATTCTTTTTAGATACCATACGGCCACCTCGCACATGAACAATCTACCAGCATGTTAACCATTTAGCGAATTCATAAAACTTATTGATATCCCTCAAACTGCCAAAAACTTGCCACACTTGCTCAACCAGTATAGATAGCATAATGTCTCTCAATCAGGGAAAGTACAAGCCTAGCATTTGCGCCATCGATGAGGTTGACGATCGCAGCCTCAAAAATGATGATCTCCAAAAGCAGCAACTCGAGGGTAGCGAAACAGCGCCCTTGACCACCAACCAACAGAAATTGCACATTGATACAAGTAGTCGTGCGGGGAAGGATGTGGAATCGCAAATCGATGATAATATTGAGGGCAACGGAAATAGCAAGGCGGATGGTGGTGTGACCGGTGGCGCTAGTAATGCAGCTGCCAATGGCTTTCGTGGTAAGTAGGAGTGAGCCTCTATCTTTGTCATTGAATTTCATGTAACATCATCAGTTCATGCATTAATTCATATGCCATTGTCATTTCTCATTTCATGTGCTCCTCCATGCCGTCTGCCCGTTAAAGCCTTCCTACTTTCAGGTCGCATGCAATTAGACGCATTGATGCAGTTGTCACGTAAACGTCGTATACTCTACATAACGACCGTTTGCTTTTGTGCCTTACTCTTAGTCATAATCGTCATGATGATCGCATTCTGGCCGGAGGTTCCATTCTACTTTCGCGCCGAACTGTGTCTTGAGAAGGAGTGCGTGCAAACCAGTCAACAGTTGCTTTTATGGGCCAATATTTCAAAAAATCCCTGCCACGACACCTACGAGTGGGCGTGCGGTAATTTTGCACGTGAATATGCGGAGAATGATTACTATGTAATAAAGCGTGGCGAATGGAATTACAAGACCTATACTGAATATGAAGGTAAGCAGTACGTTGCAATTCTTATTTTGTGGTTTATGTATATTTTAGTTCATTTGCTTTATTTTCTATATATGTCCCACTGAAGAGCTGAATGAGCTGAACCGTTTCATATCGATGTTGCCATCATCTGGCGCCTCATACACAGTGGAGTCAATGATTTCGAGTTTGTATCGTTCGTGTCGTGAAATCGATACACTGGATAAAAGTCAGTCGGATTTGCTGCTGCGGAAGGCGATAAAATCAGTGGGTGAGTCCTAGTATAGTGGCTCTATATGTAGGTGTACATGGAAAAAATTAAAACAGGATAAAAATAGTACCATGATGTTCAGAAACCAATTGTAATCAAAAAAGGACAATTTGATAGGAACTATTTTTCACTAATCAGAGTACTAAGTATTTTCTACTAGCACTGACCCACATATTGAAAAATGTGCAAGAAGTGGTCGTACTTTACGTCTACAAGGATTTAAAAATAAAATCGGGATTTTTGTACCGGCTGCCAATTTCAAAAGCCCGGGTTTTTAAGTCCCGTTACCAATTTTGAGAAAAGCGGAGTAGCAATTATTGAAATATCACAGTTTTAGTTTTTTAAAAAATACTGTACTATGGGAAGTGGGCGTGGTTATGAAACGATTTCAAAATTTACCAATGTCATGAAGAGATTCATTGAATGAGCCTTAAAATTCTTGTTAGTATCGAAAGAAAGGTTCAATAAATAAGTACATATTATACAAAAAAAAAAAAAAAAAA